GAACCAAGTTGGTTCACCACTACGGCTGTCTCCCTCTTACTCTGCGCACCAGCGGGCCAGACACGCGTCAAGCCTTGTTGTCATACATTTGTGCAACTTATATGACCTTGGCCACCCTGGCTGTAACACGCCTGACCTTGGCCACCCTCGCTGCAACACCCCTGACCTTGGCCTCCCTCGCTGCAACACCCCTGACCTTGGCCACCCTCGCTGCAACACTCCTGACCTTGGCCACCCTGGCTGTAACACCCCTGACCTTGGCCACCCTCGCTGCAACACCTCTGACCTTGGCCACACTGGCTGTAACACCCCTGACCTTGGCCACCCTGGCTGTAACACCCCTGACCTTGGCCACCCTCGCTGCAACACCTCTGACCTTGGCCACCCTGGCTGTAACACCCCTGACCTTGGCCACCCTCGCTGCAACACCTCTGACCTTGGCCACCCTGGCTGTAACACCCCTGACCTTGGCCACCCTCGCTGTAACACCCCTGACCTTGGCCACCCTGGCTGCAACACCCCTGACCTTGGCCACCCTCGCTGCAACACTACTGACCTTGGCCACCCTCGCTGCAACACTACTGACCTTGGCCACCCTGGCTGTAACACCCCTGACCTTGGCCACCCTCGCTGCAACACTACTGACCTTGGCCACCCTGGCTGCAACACCCCTGACCTTGGCCACCCTCGCTGCAACACTACTGACCTTGGCCACCCTCGCTGCAACACTACTGACCTTGGCCACCCTGGCTGCAACACCCCTGACCTTGGCCACCCTCGCTGCAACATCCCTGACCTTGGCCACCCTCGCTGCAACATCCCTGACCTTGGCCACCCTCGCTGCAACACTACTAACCTTGGCCACCCTCGCTGCAACACTACTGACCTTGGCCACCCTCGCTGCAACACTACTAACCTTGGCCACCCTCGCTGCAACATCCCTGACCTTGGCCACCCTCGCTGCAACACTACTAACCTTGGCCACCCTCGCTGCAACACTACTGCCCTTGGCCACCCTCGCTGCAACTCTACTTCCCTTGGCCACCCTCGCTGCAACACTACTGACCTTGGCCACCCTCACTGCAACACTCCTGACCTTGGCCACCCTCGCTGTAACACTACTGACCTTGGCCACCCTCGCTGCAACACCCCTGACCTTGGCCACCCTCGCTGCAACACTACTGACCTTGGCCACCCTCGCTGCAACACTCCTGACCTTGGCCACCCTCGCTGCAACACTACTAACCTTGGCCACCCTGCTGCAACACCCCTGACCTTGGCCACCCTCGCTGCAACACCCCTGACCTTGGCCACCCTCGCTGCAACACTACTGACCTTGGCCACCCTCGCTGCAACACTACTGACCTTGGCCACCCTCGCTGCAACACTACTGACCTTGGCCACCCTCGCTGCAACACTCCTGACCTTGGCCACCCTCGCTGCAACACTACTGACCTTGGCCACCCTCGCTGCAACACTACTGACCTTGGCCACCCTCGCTGCAACACTCCTGACCTTGGCCACCCTCGCTGCAACACTACTGACCTTGGCCACCCTCGCTGCAACACTACTGACCTTGGCCACCCTCGCTGCAACACCCCTGACCTTGGTCACCCTCGCTGCAACACTCCTGACCTTGGCCACCCTGGCTGTAACACCCCTGACCTTGGCCACCCTCGCTGCAACACCCCTGACCTTGGCCACCCTCGCTGCAACACTCCTGACCTTGGCCACCCTCGCTGCAACACCCCTGACCTTGGCCACCCTCGCTGCAACACTCCTGACCTTGGCCACCCTCGCTGCAACACTCCTGACCTTGGCCACCTTCGCTGCAACACCCCTGACCTTGGCCACCCTCGCTGCAACACCCCTCACCTTGGCCACCCTCGCTGCAACACTCCTGACCTTGGCCACCCTCGCTGCAACACCCCTGACCTTGGCCACCCTCGCTGTAACACTACTGACCTTGGCCACCCTCGCTGTAACACTCCTGACCTTGGCCACCCTCGCTGCAACACTACTGACCTTGGCCACCCTCGCTGCAACACTACTGACCTTGGCCACCCTCGCTGCAACACTCCTGACCTTGGCCACCCTCGCTGCAACACTACTGACCTTGGCCACCCTCGCTGCAACACCCCTGACCTTGGCCACCCTCGCTGCAACACTACTGACCTTGGCCACCCTCGCTGCAACACTACTGACCTTGGCCACCCTCGCTGCAACACCCCTGACCTTGGCCACCCTCGCTGCAACACCCCTGACCTTGGCCACCCTCGCTGCAACACTCCTGACCTTGGCCACCCTCGCTGCAACACTACTGACCTTGGCCACCCTCGCTGCAACACTCCTGACCTTGGCCACCCTCGCTGCAACACTACTGACCTTGGCCACCCTCGCTGCAACACCACTGACCTTGGCCACCCTCGCTGCAACACTACTGACCTTGGCCACCCTCGCTGCAACACTACTGACCTTGGCCACCCTCGCTGCAACACCCCTGACCTTGGCCACCCTCGCTGCAACACCCCTGACCTTGGCCACCCTCGCTGCAACACTACTGACCTTGGCCACCCTCGCTGCAACACTACTGACCTTGGCCACCCTCGCTGCAACACTCCTGACCTTGGCCACCCTCGCTGCAACACTACTGACCTTGGCCACCCTCGCTGCAACACCACTGACCTTGGCCACCCTCGCTGCAACACTACTGACCTTGGCCACCCTCGCTGCAACACTACTAACCTTGGCCACCCTCGCTGCAACACTACTGACCTTGGCCACCCTCGCTGCAACACTACTAACCTTGGCCACCCTCGCTGCAACACTACTGACCTTGGCCACCCTCGCTGCAACACTCCTGACCTTGGCCACCCTCGCTGTAACACTACTGACCTTGGCCACCCTCGCTGCAACACCCCTGACCTTGGCCACCCTCGCTGCAACACTACTGACCTTGGCCACCCTCGCTGCAACACTCCTGACCTTGGCCACCCTCGCTGCAACACTACTAACCTTGGCCACCCTGCTGCAACACCCCTGACCTTGGCCACCCTCGCTGCAACACCCCTGACCTTGGCCACCCTCGCTGCAACACTACTGACCTTGGCCACCCTCGCTGCAACACTACTGACCTTGGCCACCCTCGCTGCAACACTACTGACCTTGGCCACCCTCGCTGCAACACCCCTGACCTTGGCCACCCTCGCTGCAACACTACTGACCTTGGCCACCCTCGCTGCAACACTACTGACCTTGGCCACCCTCGCTGCAACACCCCTGACCTTGGCCACCCTCGCTGCAACACTCCTGACCTTGGCCACCCTCGCTGCAACACTACTGACCTTGGCCACCCTCGCTGCAACACTACTGACCTTGGCCACCCTCGCTGCAACACTACTAACCTTGGCCACCCTCGCTGCAACACTACTGACCTTGGCCACCCTCGCTGCAACACTACTAACCTTGGCCACCCTCGCTGCAACACTACTGACCTTGGCCACCCTCGCTGCAACACTACTGACCTTGGCCACCCTCGCTGCAACACTACTGACCTTGGCCACCCTCGCTGCAACACAACTGACCTTGGCCACCCTCGCTGCAACACTACTGACCTTGGCCACCCTCGCTGCAACACTCCTGACCTTGGCCACCCTCGCTGCAACACTACTAACCTTGGCCACCCTGCTGCAACACCCCTGACCTTGGCCACCCTCGCTGCAACACCCCTGACCTTGGCCACCCTCGCTGCAACACTACTGACCTTGGCCACCCTCGCTGCAACACTACTGACCTTGGCCACCCTCGCTGCAACACTACTGACCTTGGCCACCCTCGCTGCAACACCCCTGACCATGGCCACCCTCGCTGCAACACTACTGACCTTGGCCACCCTCGCTGCAACACTACTGACCTTGGCCACCCTCGCTGCAACACCCCTGACCTTGGCCACCCTCGCTGCAACACCCCTGACCTTGGCCACCCTCGCTGCAACACTACTGACCTTGGCCACCCTCGCTGCAACACTACTGACCTTGGCCCGGGATTCAACATGCGCTACCCGCCGTCAAGTGTGGGGGGGGATGTATCATTAATAATTACCCCCCTTAACAAGGTGCTCACAGTGACAGGTCTCCTCGGACACATGATACATAACGCTTCTCCACCTCTCTCTCTCCCGCCAGTGAAATTATGCACGATAAATAATGTGCAAAAACAAATTAATGTGAAAAGCATTCTCCTGCAGTAATTAGTTTGCGAGGTCAAATGTCAAGGTGAAGTTTGATTGAAAGCTGTATGATTGATTGAAAGAAGACTCCGCACCAATATAGAAGCATCAAGAAATACGGGCTAATAAGCCCTTTGCAGTTACTTCCATTCTTCCCTTTAACTTACAAAATATTATGCCCATTGTTTCGTGTTCTGTCTTGTGTTGAAAGTTTGTTTTCACCTCATCCAAAACTGTTGTAACATATCACCTCACCCAAATGCAGGTATATAAAATGAAAAGCCGTTTGAATTATAGCATAGTAAGAAATCTGTTTAGTGTTTGCAGGTTATAGTTGTGTGTGTGTAAACTAAAGTCTTTGAAAATGTAATAAGTTATTACGAAACGCGTTCAAGTGTCGCGTCAGACTAGAAATAAAAATGAATTTTGGAGAACCGATTTTTCAATTACCATCGACAGTGAAAAGAAATATAAGAAATATTGAGAAAATTCGTGTCAGAATTTCTTACTTTTTCTTACTTTTTACTTATCTTACTTTTTCGGTCATATTTAATAATATATGTCTACAGGAAAGGCTACAGTGGATCGCGTGAATAGGCAACAGTGGGTCCTTGGTTACCTTGAGGTTACCTTGAGGTGCTTCCGGGGCTTAGTGTCCCCGCGGCCCGGTCGTCGACCAGGCCTCCTGGTTGCTGGACTGATCAACCAGGCTGTTAGACGCGGCTGCTCGCAGCCTGACGTATGAGTCACAGCCTGGTTGATCAGGTATCCTTTGGAGATATTTGGGTCGCGTGAATAGGCTACAGTGGGTCGCGTGTATAGGCTACAGTGGGTTCATACTGAACGTATGAACTTTTTAAATTAAAATTTTATTAAAACTCATCATTTTAAGAATGTAAAATGATTCTTAAAAGTCAATTTTACATAAGGAAAATACGAAATGTTATGAGTGTGGATGTGAGGCAGGTGTCAAATGTTATGAGGCAGGTGTCAAATGTTATGTGGCAGGTGTCAAATGTTATGAGGCAGGTATCAAATGTTATGAGGCAGGTGTCAAATGTTATGAGGCAGGTGTCAAATGTTATGAGGCAGGTGTCAAATGTTATGAGGCAGGTGTCAAATGTTATGAGGCAGGTGTCAAATGTTATGAGGCAGGTGTCAAATGTTATGAGGCAGGTGTCAAATGTTATGTGGCAGGTGTCAAATGTTATGTGGCAGGTGTCAAATGTTATGAGGCAGATGTCAAATGTTATGAGGCAGGTGTCAAATGTTATGTGGCAGGTGTCAAATGTTATGAGGCAGGTATCAAATGTTATGAGGCAGGTGTCAAATGTTATGAGGCAGGTGTCAAATGTTATGAGGCAGGTGTCAAATGTTATGAGGCAGGTGTCAAATGTTATGAGGCAGGTGTCAAATGTTATGAGGCAGGTGTCAAATGTTATGTGGCAGGTGTCAAATGTTATGTGGCAGGTGTCAAATGTTATGAGGCAGGTGTCAAATGTTATGAGGCAGGTGTCAAATGTTATGAGGCAGGTGTCAAATGTTATGTGGCAGGTGTCAAATGTTATGTGGCAGGTGTCAAATGTTATGTGGCAGGTGTCAAATGTTATGAGGCAGGTGTCAAATGTTATGAGGCAGGTGTCAAATGTTATGTGGCAGGTGTCAAATGTTATGTGGCAGGTGTCAAATGTTATGAGGCAGGTGTCAAATGTTATGTGGCAGGTGTCAAATGTTATGTGGCAGGTGTCAAATGTTATGTGGCAGGTGTCAAAGAGATTATCCGGTCAATTGCTCCCAAGAGCGTGGTGAGGGCCTAGGCAGAGAGCAGTCTTATATATCAGATAAGAAAATTCCATTATGTGTAAGTGCAGTGAGAGAGAGACACTACGAGAGGAATACACGAGGTACTGTTCCAGAGGGAGAACACTAAGAAGAACACACAATGAGGAAACACACACACACACACACACACACACACACACACACACACACACACACACACACACACACACACACACAGGAGGCCTCGTAGCCTGGTGGATAGCGCGCAGGACTCGTAATTCTGTGGCGCGGGTTCGATTCCCGCACGAGGCAGAAACAAATGGGCAAAGTTTCTTTCACCCTAAGTGCCCCTGTTACCTAGCAGTAAATAGGTACCTGGGAGTTAGTCAGCTGTCACGGGCTGCTTCCTGGGGTGTGGGTGTGTGGTGTGGAAAAAAAAGAAAAGAAAAAAAAAGTAGTTAGTAAACAGTTGATTGACAGTTGAGAGGCAGGCCGAAAGAGCAAAGCTCAACCCCCGCAAAAACACAACTATTAAACACACACACACACACACACACACGCCAATACACGCTTCCTGCACAATGCTCAATAGTGTGTGATTTCAACCCGTTCTCGCAAATGTAATAAGTCAATATTGACTTATTAAATATGTACATAGGTGACATACTTAACATAATAGTTTCCCTTGAAAATGCCTCATAGAAAACACCGACCTTACCTAACCTACTTAGTATGTTAAGATAAGCATCTTATTGCTTCGTAATTACAATTATTACCTAACCTATACCTATAATAGGTTAAGTAACAATTGTAATTACGAAGCTATAAGATGCTTATTTTAACATACTAAGTAGGTTAGGTAAGGTCGGTGTTTTCTATGAAGCTTTTCAAGGGAAACTATTATGTTTAGTATGTCACCTATGCACGCAACTAATAAGTCAATATTGACTTGTTAAATTTGCGAGAACGGGTTGGTGATTTGCACCTGACAACAGAGACCTCGTTGTGGCCGCCACAAAGAACACGGGCTGCTGCCACTTGGGGACACGAACACCCCGTTACTGTGACTCCTCCTCTGTACGGTGACCCGTGAGACCAGTCCAAACTCCGTCACCGTCACCGTCGCTTCTGGTACCAACTGTGAAAATAAAAATAATACTAAAGTTGTTCATTTTTCCCCTCTTTTTTTCGTGGATTAAAATTTGACCCCTGGCTAACGACTGAGGTGTTAACTAAACTGTCCGTCCTATACAATGTTGTTCACTGGTACGTTCGTGTCCCCTCCTTCCCTGGTAGCTGCCGCGACCAGTCCCACAGTTAAGTAAAATATATTTTTGTTATGCTCATTGAGGCATGTTTGTGTATAAATGTGTGTGTGTGTGTGTGTGTGTGTGTGTGTGTGTGTGTGTGTGTGTGTGTGTGTGTGTGTGTGTGTGTGTGTGTGTGTGTGTGTGTACTCACCTAGCTGTGCTTGCGGGGGTTGAGTTTTGGTTCTTTGGTCGCGCCTCTTAACCGTCAATCAACTGGTGTACAGATTCCTGAGCCTACTGGGCTCTATCATATCTAAATTTGAAACTGTGTATGGAGTCAGCCTCCACCACATCACTGCCTAATGCATTCCATTTGTTAACTACTCTGACACTGACAAAATTCTTTCTAATGTCTCTGTGGCTCATTTAAGTACTCAGTTTCTACCTGTGTCCCCTTGTTCGTGTCCCACCCGTGCTAAAGAGTTTGTCTTTGTTCACCCTGTCAATTCCCATGAGAATTTTGTAGGTAGTTTTCATGTCTCCCCTTACTCTTCTGACTTCCAGGGACGTGAGGTTCAGCTCCTTTACCCTTTCCTCGTAGCTCATACCTTTCAGTTCGTGGACGAGTCTGGTGGCATACCTCTGAATCTTCTCTAACTTTGTCTTGTGTTTAACAAGATATGGACGCCAAGCTGGAGCTGTATATTCCAGGATTGGTCTGGCATAAGTGGTATACAGGGTCCTGAACGATTTCTTACATAAATTTCTAAGGGCAGTTCTTAT